CATTTCCTGGAAATTAAACAAATTAAATGAATTTGATTAAATAGGACTAAATGGTACAATCAGTAGTTTTGTACAGTTGAACAGGGTCATCATAATCATTTATTATTTTACAAGTTTTGTGTTGTCTTTCCAATGGAACAATCTAAAATTACATTTTACACTCATAATTTGCAGGCTGCTCAGGGACTTAAGTGCTGACTGTGAGATGCCAGGTGTTTAATAATGATGTGCAGTATTAATCCTGAAAAGGTATATTTTTAAACCTCTATACTTAACTATTCAACATCTTTCCTTGAAAAATACATAACCAGTAATATTAAATAGTGTCACAAATAAAGCATTCAGTTAATTCTTATACAGAGCAATTCTTAAACACTTGTACACTTGAATAACTGATTCTGTGTTGCTTTACTATTTGAATATGCTTTATAAGCATAGTTAATATTTAATACTGTTGAAACATAAAATTTGATATTAAAAGATATAAAATATAACTGCATATAATTATGCAATAAAACATAATTGAGCCGTGTCATGACAAAATCAACATAATGGGTTTGCGACCAGCATGGATCCAGACCAGCCTGCTCCTCAGCGCAGTCTGATCTGGATCCATGCTGTTCGCTCTCTATTTCTCTACTTGTAATAGGGATTGTAAGCGAGCAGCATGGATCCTGATGAGACCGCGCGGATGTGCAGGCTGGTCTGGATCCATGCTGGTCGCAAACCCATTATGTTGGTTTTGTCATGACACGGCTCAATTCATTACAAAATATTTGTTTATTAATTATGAATTTTATTATTAAAGGTGAGCACAACCACAAGAAGTTCTAGGAAACACAGGCAGTGGACTTAAAACAGACATGGATTAAAGAAATAGTAATTTAAATAATCAGAAACATTTGAAACAAATTTATGACTGAAACACTTCCAGCAAAATAATTGCAAAAAAACAACAAAGTGTTGGATTCTAAGATTCCAAAACCTGCAGCTAGAAAAAAGCTGTTTGTGTTATAGTGAATGTAGGGTATTCTTTTCTGTATTTGGACTAAAGGAAATGATATTTTTTTTATTAAATTTTGTGAAAGAAAATTTAATGTGATACATTATTGATAATTTTATCCCAAAATATGTGATCATGTTAAACTCATAAAATTCCGCCCCCTGAATTCTGTCCCAGAATTCCGCCCAGAATCTTGCTTGACAATTCCGCTCCGAAATTCCGCCCCAAGGTTCCGCTTCAAAATTCCGCCCCAAGTTTCCGCTTCAAAATTCCGCCCCAACTCATTTGCATATTTCGTCCCAATTCCGCCCAGAATCCGTTCCATTTCCGCCTGGAATCCGGCCGGAATCCGTGCCAAAAGCAAATGGTTTAACACTTGTATATTCGGGGGAGAATTTAAATTTCTGGGCGGAATCTGCCTTTGAATTCCGCTCCATTTCCGTGCAGAAAATTTCGTACAGGTAGTCATGACCAGTAGATACTAGATAACCCTTATTAATTGTTTGTTCACTGGGTCAGAAGTCATGCATGACTAATTGGCTGCCGATAGGGGGCATACATGTTTTACAAACATATCTTGTTTTTGTGTTGATTCAATGTTGTATTGTCAACAACATTGACCTGGCACTCTTGCATTTGACCCTGTAGTCGGTATATTCCGTAAACGTTATGATCTACTTGTAAATCGATATGAATGTAAATATCCAATTGTTAAAATGATGTAAATTAAAATTCCCTCTTAGCGCAGTTGGTAAAGTGCTTGTATAGACTTGTAGAATGTAGACGTAGACTGGTAGGTTCGAATCCTATTTCAGCTATTATTTTTTATTTCAATTTTGAAATTACCATTCTCTTTAAACTTTCTAAATTATTGAAAACCTTTTTATTGTGTGTACTATTTAAGTAGAATTTTAAATAACTGCTTTTGTAGCATGTGTGCGCTAAAGCATATACGATTGCATAATGTCACAAAAAGAACCGTTGAAAGATACTGTAATGAAATAAAAGACATAATTGTGCATAAAATCACCACTTAAAAGTTATTCTAAAACCAGGTGAAGTAAAACGATTTCAAATTAATTCTTGCAATTAAATTAAAAAAAAAAATCATTATGTGGTGTTGGTTAGGTATCGAACCAGAGACCATCAGATCGGTAGTCCGACATCTATACCAATATACCACACCTCACTGACAAGTGAAGATAGCAACAATATCGATATAATTTCGATAGGTAATAGTCAATGTTTATTTATATGACCTTTCCGAAAATTAATGAAGTGCCAGGTCAATATTGTTGGACAATATACACAAAATATCTTTCTGGTTTCCCAAAAGTTAAAAATAATAACTGATCTACATGTACTTCCAAAAATGTGAAAGCATTTACCGACTGGCTAATTGTAAGGTCACAAGAAGGTGACCTCCTATGGGTTAACTGTCAGATCCTTAAGCCTTACCTTATTTAGGAGCTGATTTTTAATTTTTATGAGATTTTGCTTTTCAGTCTGTTTTTTTTGGTAGATTCTAAACAATAGTTGAATTTCTGCTTACTTTTCTATATAATCACCACTCTAGATTTTATTTTAATTAGACAATTCTTTGTAGACATATATTATGCTTTATAGAAACACAAAATATTACATTGTAGTTTCTTTTTATCACAAAATTTCCATATAGAAGTAATTTTTGCCATTTTCTCACATTTTTTAGGTGACATTGTTTAGGAAGATGTTTTAAATAATTATAATTCACACTGAAGATTGTTATAAAGAAAATCTTGTTGACACAATGGTTGTAATGGTTTATGTATGTTGTTTGAAGTTGCTTTTGGAACTTTGCTTTGTTATAAAAACTTTGCTTTTATCAAATATAAAGTTATATTCTAGCATGGAAGTATATGGTTAATGGGTTTTTGAAAGCTTTGATATTAGATGTTCATGTGGTTTGAAACAGTTTTGTATATTTATGAAGTATTCATCTTTTAGCTCAAAAAGTTCTATAGGATTATAGTTGAGTAAATTTTAACATATGTGTGTATTGTTGCTTCTGGACCAAAATTTGTAGGGGGGTGGGGGTTGGGAGGGGGGACACAGGATTGGAAATTATAAATTGACAGATTTTTGGTTAAATTAAGGTGGCACAAACAATATTTATAATTGCTGAAATTTATGTTGTCAGTCTGGCTTTAATTTTCACAAGTATGATTTTTAGCTCGACTATTCGAAGAATATGAGAGCTATTGTAGTCGCCCCGGCGTCGGCGTCGGCGTCAGCGTCCGCGTCGGCGTCTGCGTTGGTTAAAGTTTTTTGTAAAGTCAAATATCTCAATTATTACTCGAGATAATCAATTGAAACTTACAATACTTATTTATAGTAACAAGGTACATCAGATAGACAAGTTGGGTAACTCTGCCTACAATATTTACAGAATTATGCCCCTTTTTAACTTAGAAATTTTGGTTAAAGTTTTTTGTAAAGTCAAATATCTCAATTATTGCTTGAGATATTCAATTGAAACTTACAATACTTATTAATAGTAACAAGGTACATCAGATAGACAAGTTTGAAAACTCTGCCTACAATATTGACAGAATTATGCCCCTTTTTAACTTAGAAATTTTGGTTAAAGTTTTTTGTAAAGTCAAATATCTCAATTATTGCTTGAGATATTCAATTGAAACTTACAATACTTATTTATAGTAACAAGGTACATCAGATTGACAAGTTGGATAACTCTGCCTACAATATTGACAGAATTACGCCCCTTTTTAACTTAGAAATTTTGGTTAAAGTTTTTTGTAAAGTCAAATATCTCAATTATTGCTTGAAATATTCAATTCAAACTTACAATACTTATTTATAGTAACAAGGTACATCAGATTGACAAGTTGGATAACTCTGCCTACAATATTGACAGAATTATGCCCCTTTGGAACTTAGAAATTTTGGTTAAAGTTTTTTTGTAAAGTCAAATATCTCAATTATTGCTCGAGATATTCAATTGAAATTTAAAACACTCTTTTGTAGTAACAATGTGCATCAGTTTGAAAAATTGCATAACTCTGCCTGCAATATTTGCAGAATTGTTTGCCCCTTTGAAACTTAGAAATTTTGGTTAAAGGTTAAAGGTCTTCAAAGATATTTACTACTTTACACATGCACTTAGGGTCATAATTGGAGGGTCATAATTGTATGTCACTGACCAAGTTCCATAACTCTATCTTGCATTAAGGCTGATTCATATCCCCTTTTCTACTTAGTCTCTTGGTTAATGTTTACATGCAAGTTGTACATATCTCAATAACTATTAAAGATATTTATTTAAAACTTCACATATGCATTTAGGGTCATAATTGTTGGTCACTGACAAAGATCCATAATTCTATCTTGTATTTAGGCTGATTTTTCTCCCCTTTTTCAACTTAGAAATTCATGGTAAAGTTTTGCTTGTAAGCTGTTATCTCAATAACTACTGAAGGGTTTGTGCCTTTTTTGGGACAATTTTATGCATTCATAATAATAAAGCAGTGATTTACTTGATAAAACATCTTAATAACAAGCCTTTGTACCTTTTCTGTCAAATTTATGTATTCATAGGTAATTAGTATTATTATACTCAATAAAACACCCTTGTGACATTACCTTCTGAATAGTCAAGCCAATACTGTATAATTAGACTCTCTCTAAGGCCTATAACATGAATTTATAAAAAAAAATTAGCCCTTTTGTGAACTTAAAAAATTTAACATTATCAAGGCTCTTTTACTATCAAGCACTTAGAATAGTTGAGCATGCTGTCCTACAGACAGCTCTTGTTGAAAAACTACTTATAACACTTGCTTAAACTGAAATAGATATTTAACATTTGTCTACATCGTCCGCTTATGATGTGCAGTCATTTGATATTATTAAAACTGTATTTTTGCATAATGTTAACCAGAAGCAAAGAGATGGTACCCATTCTCTTACATTATACATAATGCATACCACATAGAAAATGGTACCCAGTGAGTAATCATCTAAAGAAGCTTACGTAGCAGGAAAAAAAAATACAAAAAGAAATTACCGTAAATAAAGCTAAATAGCTGTAAATGCAGGCATTTAGTCTAGGGGAGAATTTTTTTAATATGGCATGAATCTTGTAATCCCACACTCTAAAAGCAACAATGTATATCTAAGATGAACTTTAATATCCCATGTGACAAGCATTAACATCACCTCTGGTGCTCTTATATTATACAAATATTTACTCATTTATGATTGATCAATTTTGTTTCAGTCATAATTACTTGTTCAATAATTTCATTAATTTGAAATGTTTTTAAACAGATACAGTGTTGATAGATACAGAAATAACAAAAACAAATAGTCTCATTTTATAGCATTTTTTTGTTATATCTTCTTGCAGAGGAGTTAGGGTTAAAGTTGGAAGAATATTTAAGTAAACTTCCAGTCAGCTGTTATGTGATCAGGTCAGAAGAAAGAGTTGTGCTTATCAGAGCTTGATTAAAAGGTGAGTTACATATACCTTATTTAACCTGTAAACTGCAAGAATCGAAAATGATTTATACCTTGCTTGTTCATTTTAATTACTGTTTTGTATGTTTCAAAGGAAATACATTAAATATTCTAATCTCTAGCAAGCCTACCAAAGTTCATGATGAACAGTGTCTTTTGTTTGCCCATTCATCTATGATATAAAGTGACAATTCTGGTGAAATCCAACTAACCATTGAAAAGTTTATAAGAATATCTGGTCATCAGATGTCTATACTAGTTCATTGTCACTTGCTGCATTTCTTGCTTGGACGCCCTTTGATGCTTTGCATCAATGCTTTTCTTGTATGATGAATTTGTTAAGTTTTGAACTAGGAAATAGTTGTTTACTTTTAACTTGCAAATAAAGAATAAAGTTTTTTAGTACATGTATAAGTTTTACTTGTTTTTGTGTCGCCTTGAAAAGGTGACATATAGGGGTTACTTTTGTCGGCGGCGGCGGCGTCTGTGTCGTTGTCGGCGTTGGCGTCCCCTAAAGCTTGTCCGGAGCATAACTCAGTCACTATAAGTCTGATTGACTTCAAACTTGGTATGCATGCTTCTTTCAATAAGCCGAAGTGCAGTGCACAAGGACCGGTATTCTGCAGTTCTTATTTTTTGAGTTATTGCCCTTTGTTAATTTTCATACTTTAATTTTGTCCGGGCCATTTCCCCTTAAGTATAAAAGCTATGGACTTGAAACTTCATAGGATGATAGATCTCATTATTAAGAAGTGCAGTGCACAAGAATCGGTACTCTGCATTTCTTAATTTTTGAGTTATGGCCCTTTGTTAATTTTCATACTTAATTTTTGTCCAGGGCCTTTCTCCGAAAGTATAAAAGGTATGGACTTGAAACTTCATAGGATGATAGATCTCATTAAGAGAAAGTGCAGTGCATTAAGAGAAAGTGCAGTGCATAAGAACTGATACTCTGCATTTCTTATTTTTTGAGTTATTGCCCTTTGTTGATTTTCTTACTTTATTTTTGTCCTGGTCATTTCTCCTCAAGTATGAAAGCTATGGACTTGAAACATCATAGAATGATAGATCTTATTGATAAGAAGTGCAGTGTACAGAAACTACTGCTTTGCACTTATTATTTTTTTAGTTATTGCCCTTTGTTATTTTTCATATTTCATTTTTGTCCTGGCCATTTCTCCTAAACTACATTGTTCACAAGGCGACACATCCGATTCGCGGAGTTCTAGTTAATATTTTTCTTGATATTTACAGGTGCTGCTAAAGATAAGGGTAAAGTAATAACATTCCTGGATGCTCATTGTGAAGCTACTGAAGGTTGGTTAGAGCCTCTTGTTACAGAAATATATAAAGATAGGTATGGTCTGAATGTTTTAATTTATTACTTAAATACATATATAATTTTCATAATGTAAAGAACGTGTAAAATTGAAATAACTGACGGTGTATTTTTTTATATTGTGTATAAGGTATCTTGCAAAATATGGTTCAAGTGTTTGGGCCATACATATGCCATGACCATATTTTCTGATATGATTGACAATTGTTTGGTTTAGTTCCAGCAGTGGACTGCTACATGATCAATATTAGATACAAGAATGTGTTTAAGAATTGTACTTGAGTACATTTGTTTAAACTACAGATTTTGTCATTGCTGCTTATTATAGCCTTACTCAGTTCAGGGTATTAGTGGTTTATATGTCTGTGGTTAAGCTCATTAACTTCAAAACACTTGCCCCTCAAGACTGATTGTTCAATTCCTGTCAGGGACTTTGGATTTCTTTATGTGAGGAAGCTATTAAGCAAGTTTAAGAAAATTTGATGGCAGTTTTACTCCGGAACTCTTTCATGCCTGAAAGAATGCTTGCAAGGTCTTTAATTACCAGTAAGGCTGGAAAGTTGCCATATGAACTTTACAGTGTTTGTTGGAGGTACTTTCCAAGAAAAATAAGATGATAGGTTGTGCTTGATCTTATTTATTGCTAACCATGTAACATAATGTTTGTTTATTTCAGAACTGCAGTAGCCTGTCCCATCATTGATGTTATAAGTGATGATACATTTGAATATATTACTGGATCTGATATGACATGGGGTGGCTTTAATTGGAAACTTAACTTCAGATGGTACCCGGTCCCACAACGAGAATTAGATAGGAGAGGTGGAGACAGGAGCCAGCCAGTCAGGTAAGCTTTAACTTAAACTCACTACAGTGATGGAACAGTACCTTTAGACACTTGCAAAAATCATGGTCACAAAGTAAAAAAATATCTCTTTATTTGCAGATTCTTACATTTTTCAATCATGATTGTATATAAATTGGTTTGGGAGATGTATTAGACATTCTTTAGTGCATTCGGCAGTTGAAAAGGAGAGATTTTAGCATTTAAGCATTCAACTGCCTTGTACATACAGTAATATGGTATTTGGTGTGGTGTCTTTCACTTTTCTTAGTCCCACTCACCGAAAATGAATAGCCTTTGCCACAAGCATAGAGCCAAACCAACCTGCCCTTCCTTGTTGAAATCTCAGTATTTGCATTTTGATATTGAACTTAAATAAAATTCAAAGCAGAGTATATCCAATATATTACACATAGTAAGCAAGTCAGGTCTTTGAGGTATTGGAAACGCATAATTTCAAATCTAAACATTGCTATGTTACTAAGTCAGCCATAGCAACGTAAAAATCCATTTGTCAGATAAATGATTTTACATACTAACAATGTCAATAATAATTCATATTATTATTATTAGGTATCCGGACAATTCCCCTCCCGGACAATTCCCCTCCCAGTAAATTTTAATGTTTTTTCACAACCCGGACATTTCCCCTCCCGTTATTTTTTTACGGCGGACAATTCCCCTCCCGTTCTTTTATCAACCCGGACAATCCCCCTTCCGTTCTTTTAACAACCCGGACAATGCCCCTCCCGCTGTTGTCAGAGCGGACAATTTCCCTCCCGTGGCTATTGAATATATATACAGTATTATATAATATTGTTTATTTGAAAGGTATATACATTTTTGCAGCGGCAAAACAATAAAAGAACAATTGATAAGAACAAAAAAAAAAAACAATTAAGCTGTAGATTCTTGCAAAGAATATATTATGCACATGTTGTAGTAAATTGAACTGTCATCATCGTCATTATGATTAGAAAATCATATTCACCATATTGAATCAGTACATGAAGTCCTAACACAAAATATCAGTGATCATTTTGATTTTATATATGATTGAACACATTTGTAGGAATATTCTCCTTCATTTTTAATTGGTTTTGCAATCAAGGACACATTTAATTAAGGGCGGCAATGATTAAAGATTTTTTATTGACAGTTTGTTTATCTTAAGCAGCGGCGGCAATGATAAAAGGCGGTATAATGTCACTTTTGTGAAATAATGATTGTTAAAGGTTCCGATCTTTAACAGTTTGTTGTTAAGAGTAAAAACTGTCATCTTTAATAAGAATGGTTATAGATTATTTTATACGCAATGTGAAAAAAAGGGAGGGGAATTGTCCGCTCTGCTAAAAAATGGGAGGGGAATTGTCCGCTCTGCTAAATTAACGGGAGGGGAAAAGTCCGCCCAATTCAAATAACGGGAGGGGAAATGTCCGGGTTGTGAAAATAATATGGAAGAGGAATCGTCCGGGAGGGGGATTGTCCGGGATTCTTCAATCTCATTAAAATCAGATCATCGTTTTTGCTCCGTTACTCTTCGCTACGAGCGTAGGGTAGTGAAGCGACAGTTAGGATATGATTTTAATGAGATTGGGGATTCTTATTATTATTATTATTATTATTATAACATTGTTAAAATGTAGGTTCTGATGCAACTGATACTATTGACGTTGGCTGTAATAAAGGAGGCCTATATATTTGGTAAGATTTGTGATAACTTTGTTATAGAATTGTTGCACATAACCTTTACGGTCACAGTGACAATTGGCTGCCAATAGGGGATATACATGTTTTACAAACAATTATCTGAGGTTTTTTTAAAAATGGAGAGGCTTGCATGTCAAGTGACTAAGTTCGCAGACTACAAGTCACTTGGCCCTTGTTAATTACCACTGTAGGTTTAAATCTTGTCAAGGACTTCAGATTTTTTATGCCCCTGCATTACAGTGTTACCGTATTCCATAATTCTGTCATTCTGATATCATCAGTTTCCATTCATTTATAATCTTGGTAACAGTTGCACACATTCAACTCAAATTTGATATATGGATATACCATAAGAAAGTGCAGAGCAAGTTTGAATTTGGTCATGGTCGATTATATTTGATAGAGTTAATAACGCCCCTTAACCTTTTACCCCATGAGCATATTGCGAAAAATGGCCGTTTTCATTGAAAAGCCTTCTGTAACAAGTTCAAACTGCTATGAAACTATGAAAAATGCTAGAATTTAATGGTGCATAATTATTCGAAATGTAAAGAATTGCTGATGTACAAAGAAACTAACCTATTGAAGGATAAAATCAATGAATAACAAAACAAATACAAAATTAATCGGATCAAAATAACAATCAATTTTAGGATCAAGATCAATATTTGGATCAACTGTAAAATGCCGGTATCGTGCAAAAATAACAATTGATTCATTCTAAAATTTTATTCACATGCTATTTCATGTCCAATTTTATGAAGTTAATATTAAATATTTAATCTCTGAGGATAACCAATGGATAATATATTATGAGTTATTTTAATTTGGCCTTAAATCTTTGTGAATACGGGGCCTGGTCATGTTTGAAATTTGGTCATAGTTTGATGAATTTTTGGAAAAAAACTTTGAAAAAAAAAAAAAAAAAAAAAAAAAAAATTCTGTTTCTGTTCATTATCCCCAAACATTTGTACACATTCAACTCAAATGTAACATATGGATATGTCATAGGAATGTGCAGGTCAAGTTCAAGTTTGGTCATGGTTTGGTGATTTTAGACAGAGTGATTACAGAGTATTTTATCTTTCTATCTTAACTTTGCAAAAAAAGGGAAATTTTCAGTTTCAATTCATTATCTACACATTCGAATCAAATTTGACATTTGAATACGGCAAAGGAATGCCCAGGTCAAGACTTATGGATATGTCATAGGAATGTGCAAGTCAACTTCAAATTTAGTATGGTTCGATTATTTTTGACAGAGTGTTTATAGAGTATTTTATCTCTATATGACTTTGAAAAACAAGAATTTTTCAGTTTCCATTCATTATCCACCCCAACTCAAATTTTACAATTGGATATGTGAAAGAAATGCATAGGTGAAGTTAGAATTTGGTCATGGTTCAATGATTTTGACAGAGTTGTGCCCCTTTAACTTTGGGGAAAAAAAAGTCAGTTTCCAGTCATTATCTCCCCAACAGTTGTACACATTCAACTCAGATTTGACATATAGATAGACCCTCAAAATAAGCAGGCCAGGTTTGAACTTGGTCATGGTTCGATGATTTTGGAAAAAGTTTTCTCTGTTGAATGTTGGATAAAAATTGAAATTTTCAGTTTCTGCACTCAAAAACTTTTGTGGAAATTAATATATAAGGTTGAAATCGCATATGCAGGTATTTAACCAGAAAATAATAGTCAAGTCCAAATTTGGTTTTGGTCCGATGATTCTTGACAGATTTATCCTTCTTGAACTTGGAAAAAAAGACCAAAAAATCAGTTTCTTCCCTTAAACTTTGGTAGGAATGTATGTCTGAGATTGACATTGCATGTGCTGGTATTTCTCCAGAAAACACAAGTCAAGTTCTGATTTGGTCATGGTGAAATATTTTTTGATAGCTATCACTCTTGAACTTGGAAAAGATTTAAAAATTAACTATTTTTAATCATTATCTAAGCTACAAATTTGCCATCTGCTGAAAGGTTAACACTGAATTGTGTGTAAAAATGGTTTGTGTTAACATTGGATTATAAGTTTAAGGGCCTAGAATGTAACAATGGTTTGTGCAAACAAATTTCTAACTAAAAATAATTGTAACATTTGAAATTTGCTGCATGCCGTTGTGGCATTATGACACATTTCTTTTTTTATTTCAAGCTTACAGAAGGTTCTCCCTATGGCTCAGGGGTTTTCTTCAACATGTTCAGTTAAAACTCGCCATATGACTTAAGTGTGCTTAAAAAGAAACAAGCAAATTGAAAAATGAGATCCTTTATCTAAAGCCATCATTTATACATGAATTTCTGGTAGTACATAATTATGTCTGTGTTTTATTTTCATATGTATAATTTCAAATGTTTGTTTTGTTACTACAGTACCAATGTAAGGTTATTAGACAACACTGTACAAGGTCATCATCACAGAAATGAAGTGTTCTGTTGAGAGAGATGGGAACTGGAGGATCATTATAGAAAAACAGCCTGCACATGGCCATAATTGGTTAATAACTTTGGATGGAACTAACAAAGATAAGTTTCAGTTTAATCTATCTATCTATTTATTATGTATACCTTAAAATTCCTAATAAACGCCCCCGGGGGCTAAACATTTACCAAAAGTGGGGCTTTTATTACAACACAGTTTATCCTAAATAAAAAATCACTTTAAATACATTTAGTGTTAGCAAGTGTTGGTAATTACATTAAAAAGTGTTTTAAAAGGTTTTAAAGTTCATATTATACATATTTGTGTTTACTATAAAATGCTATGGATTCTGAATGATTTGAATGAAATTATGGCTTTAATTATGAGTTCAGCACTGATGAGTAGATTGTTTTCCTTATCAAAAGGCCTGGGGGCCTTTATTAGGTGAGGGGCGTTTATTAGGAATTTTACGGTATGTAATATTTAGATAATAATGACTATCAAACAAAAATGCATGTCGAAGAAACCATGAAACTGTTATATAAGATGACATAAATAATGATGGTGATGATATTTTTGATGATGATGATGATGGTGGTGGTGATGATGAAATAATATGATAGTCATTAAAAGGAGTAATTGAAATGTTGTTATTCGAAATGATGGTAATCTTATTTTATGATGGCATTAATTATAGATTATACGGTAATGCTATTTAAAATAATGGGAATAGTTTTTGTTGTTGGTGGTTGTTGTTGTTGTTGATGATGATGATGGTGGTGGTGATGATGATGATGGTGGTGATGATGATGGTGATGATGATTCAAGTGATTGTTATTGAAAAAGGGATACTTGAAATTGTGTTTTTAGAAATTCGATATTTAATATAATAATGATAATAATATACATGTACATGAAGATAGCATGGTAATGTCATTGAAGATATTGAGATGTTGTTGATTATGATGGTGGGTGGAGGATGAGTTGGAGGATTAAATGATTGTTATTATAGTTTATAGGTGATACTTTATTATTAGAGGTGATGAGTAAAGATATCATATAATGATGAAAGTGTTATGTCAAATTGGATAATGATGATGATTTTGATGATTATGATGGTGTTATGTCAAATTGGATAATAATGATGATTTTGATGACAATTGTGATGATGATGTTTGTAATGATGATGATGATGTTTGTAATGATGATGATAATGTTTGTAATGATGATGATATTTGTAATGATGATGATGATGTTTGTTATGATGATGATGTTTGTAATGATGATGATGATGTTTGTAATGATGATGATGATGTTTGTAATGATGATGATGATGCTTGTAATGATGATGATGATGTTTGTAATGATAATGATGATGTTTGTAATGATGATGATGATGTTTGTGATGACAATGATGATGATGTTTGTAATGATAATGACGATGCTTGTAATGATGATGATGATATGATGATGTTTGTAATGATGATGATGATGTTTGTAATGATGATGATGATGTTTGTAATGATGATGATGATGTTTGTTATGATGATGATGTTTGTAATGATGATGATGATGTTTGTAATGATGATGATGATGATGTTTGTAATGATGATGATGATGTTTGTAATGATGATGATGATGTTTGTAATGATGATGATGATGTTTGTAATGATGATGATGATGTTTGTAATGATGATGATGACAATGTTTGTAATGATGATGATGATGTTTGTAATGATGATGATGATGTTTGTAATGATGATGATGATGTTTGTTATGATGATGATGATGTTTGTAATGTTAATATCTATATAAAGGATTATTGAAATTTTGTTTATTTGATGAGGAAGTTATTATTGTCAAAAAAACTTAGATTATAAGAGGTGATTAGTAAAGATATCATATAATGATGAAAGTGTTATGTCAAATTGGATAATGATGATGATTTTGATGATTATGATGGTGTTATGTCAAATTGGATAATAATGATTTTTTTGATGATGATGGTGGTGGTGATGATGGTGGTGGTGATGATGTTTGTAATGATGATTTTGATGATGATGGTGGTGGTGATGATGGTTAGTCTGATGACAATGATGATGATGGTGGTGGTGATGATGGTTAGTCTGATGACAATGATGATGATGGTGGTGGTGATGATGGTTTAGTCTGATGACAATGATGATGGTGGTGGTGATGATGGTTAGTCTGATGACAATGATGAATGGTGTGGTGATGATGGTTAGTCTGATGACAATGATGATGGTGGTGGTGATGATGGTTAGTCTGATGACAATGATGATGGTGGTGGTGATGAAATGGTTAGTCTGATGACAATTGATGATGGTGGTGGTGATGATGGTTAGTCTGATGACAATGATGATGGTGGTGGTGATGATGGTTAGTCTGATGACAATGATGATGATGCAGGTTATGTCATTGAAGATAATAAGATGTTGTTGATTTTGATTGTATTAAAGGAGTGATAGTATCTTTACAGAATTTGAGAATTGTGTTGTCTTGTTGATTAACTTTTCAGAACTTTATCATTGTAACAATATCATTATATATTTTACATACATATCACCTGAAAACTCAGTGTACTATGAATTAGAATGCTTGAGAAAAATGGCGTTTTACAAATGTATGATAATATTGAGAAAATTAAGTTTGATTATCCAGAAGTTGAACTATTTTTGGGCGGAGATTTCAATGCTAGGACACAAGATTTTTTAGATTTCATTCATAACGATGATCTTCATTATGTTTTTGGTAATGTCGATTATGAAGGTAGCTATTTTGAAATTCCACGTCAAAATAAAGATAGTAGAAGAGGGAATAATTTTGGTAAAGATTTAGTAAATTTTTGTTGCATATTTGATGTTCACTTATTAAATGTGCCATGGTGATATTAAAGGGGAATATACGTATTATTCTAACGACGGAGTTAGTGTTGTAGATTATATGATTGTTTCAACAAATGTTTTTCAGTATGTTAAATATTTTAAAGTCTTAGATAAAGACAATTCAGACCATTTTCCTATCTGTTGTTATTTAGAATTTAAGATAAAAATACCTGTACAAGATACACTTTATGAAACAAACACGTGTACTAATATTAATATGTTAAAAATCATTATAATGAAATTTTCGTGAATAGTTTACGAAACCTTTTACATGAGAAAAATGATACATTAATACAAAAGCTTAACGAAAACATTAATGAGTATAACTCAGATTTATCATGAAGCTGGCGAATGTATGAGAATGAAGATCAAATTTAGTTCTAATCAACCTGCATGGTGGGATGATGAATGTTTTAGATTGAAGAAACGAAAGTATCCATTATTGCGTAATTTTCGTAACACAAATACACAAAATGATTTGAGATTATATAAAACTAGTCGTAATGAATTTAAAATATGCTGTTATAAAAAGAAATTCGAATACCAAAGTCAAAATAGATATAACTTAGTGAACAGCACTGATGCCATTTCTTTTTGGAAACAATTGAAATCAGCCAAACCACAAAATAAAATGACAAGTAATAGCATTTCTTCTAAAGAATGGTATGATTATTTCAATAAACTATTGTATGACACATGCTGTAAAAGTAACCGTCACACGTGAATAACAAAAATGTATTTTCTGATGAAAGTGCGAATTCACTAAATTTACCTTTTACATTATGTGAAATTGAATCAGTTATTTCTAAACTTGTAAATAATAAAAGTTCTGGATTTGACAAGATTCCATCTGAATTTTTTAAATATTCATGCCAGGACATCGGGGAACATTTCTAACTGTTGTTGAACACTATTTTTACAACAGGAAATGTTCCAAATACTTGGGGTCAAAGTATTATATGTCCAGTTTACAAGTCTGGGTCGTCTTTTTTATCGGGGCATTTCTATCACAGATACAATGTATAAAATATTTTCTGGCGTTATTAATAAAAGGTTATATATTTGGGCTGAAGAAAATAATAAAATAGAAGAATGTCAGGCAGGTTTCAGGGCTATTGATAATATTTTCTGTTTAGATATCCTAAACAGTGTTATTTAATGTTGAAGTCACTAGACGATGTAGGTCGAATATGTTGGGTTAGTACTGTTTAGATATGGTTTTGGTTTTGTCTGGATATCTCAAGAAATTGGTGACACGAGTATGTTCCTTAAGCTTTTTAAACAAAGACTTATTGATTGTTGTACTCAATAATGGTATGAAAATATATCGAATTCTAGTAGTTGTTTTCACTATAATAGATTTAAATCACTTTTAAATGTTGAACGATACTTTTAAACATAAAAAGGCGTTTTGTAATTTACGTTGCTCCAACCATAAATTAGGTATAGAAATAGGCAGACATTATAATATCCCAAGGGAAGAACGTCTGTGTACAACTTGTAATGATAGTATAGATTGTGAATTCCATGCTTTCTTTATATGTAAAAAATACAAACAAATCCGTGATAAGTATTTATTCAATTGGTATTTTGGCGGAAAAGAACTACATGATTTTTATGTATTAATAAGTACACCTGATATAACCACATTAAGGAAGCTTATGTTTTATGTATATGTTTTAATGGATAACATAAACAACTAGTCTTTGTTTGCATTTATAAACATTGTTAAGGTGACGCAACCATATTACAATATTGTTGTATGTATGCTTTGTATTTTGGGCCGGAGGCCTTTGAACACAAATAAAGTTATTTGAATCTTTGAATCTTGAATCTATAAAAAAAATAGTTAAAATTATATTAATAGAATTGATACTTTATTAGAAAAAAATGTCATATATTGATGTAAATGTTAAATCAAATGAAATAATGATGAGGATAATAAGTAGGAATTGATTGTCATAGAAATAAGACAGGTAAAATGATATTATTGGAGTATAGTGATATTTTATCAATAATATTATATAATGATAAAAGTGTTATATCAAATGAGATAAAAGTAACGATGATGATGATTGTGATGATGATGATGCTGGTGATGATGATGCTTGT